GAGGCAGGCGGCTCTGTGAGTTCGAACTCTGTGAGTTCGAGGCCAGCCAGGTCTAAAAGAGCTAGTTCCAGGATGGCTTCCAAAGCCACAGAGAAACCCTGCCTCGAATCCACCCCCCCCTCCCCCCCCCCAAAAAAAAAGAAACATGGAGCTCATAGCTCAGCTTGGTTGGCCAGCAAGCACTAGGCTCCCCCTGTCGGATCCCCCTGTCTCCATCTCCCTGTGCAGGGATTATAGGCACTAGCTGCCACGCCCAGCTTTTTCTCTGGACTGTGTGTGATTGAACTCAAGTCTTCATGCTTATATAGCTAGCAGTTTGGGCTGTCTCCCCAACCCTGATTTGTCCACATTCTTTCAACAGTTGTTTTACAGTACACAAAGTAGTGGTATCTCCTTGTGGCTTTGGCTTTAATTTCCTCTTTAAATATATTGAGCCTCCTTTTATGTGCTAATTATTTGTTTGTGTTTCTTCTTTAGAAAAAATATTCAGATCTTTTACTCAAATTTAATTGAATTATTTGTCTCTTATTGAGTTGTAAGAGCTCTTTACATATTTTGGACACAACATGCTTTATATTTTATGAGCACTTATCAAGTTTTTGGCTTGACAATATTTTTCCATTCTTTGCATTGTCTTTTTAATTGTGTTTAAATATAGATAACATGAGATTTTCTATTGTAAAACCCTGAGTAGTGTTAAGCCTATGCACAGTGCTGTGCAGCCATTCCCACCATTCATCTGGAGTATTTTTCTCATCTCCCCAACTGAGCTTTGCACCAGCAAATCAATCCCGCAGTTGCCACTCCACTCAGTCTGTCTTAGCATGTCTGCTTGGGGTAGGTTCCTCATGTGAGTGGAATCATGAATCATATTTTCTTTCTGGCCACTTTCACTTAATATAATGTCTTCAAGGTTCATCCATGTTGTAGCATAGGTTAGAATATCTATCTTTTTAAGGCTAAATAATAATATTTCATTTTATGCCAATTACATGTTTTTTTAGCCCATTCGTGTATTGGTGGGCATTTGGGTGGCTTCCATGTTTCCTGTTGTGGACATCGCTGCTGTGAGCATTGGCACACAATCTGTTCAAGTCCTTGCTTTCCGTTCTTTGGAGTTTGGACCTCAAATTGGAATTGCTGGATCATATGGTAATTCGGTTTTTTAGTTTTTGAAGACCTGCCATACTGTTTCCATAGCAGCTGTGCTATTTGACATCGCCACCAGCAGGGGACAAGGGCTCTAATTTTTCCACATCAGTCACCAATACTTGTCATTTTCTGGATTTGTTTTGTTATTGTTTATAATTACCATTCTAATGGGTGTAAAGTAGGTGTGGTCTTGATTTGCATTTCTTTTTTTCTTTCTTGATGGTGATGTCTACAGCACAAAACAGATTTAATTTTGATGAAGTTCAATCTGTCTGTCTATTGTTGCATGTTCTTTTGGTATTCCATCGCCTCATCTGACACTTCATTTTCTTCTAAGTGTTTTTGCAGTTTTAACTATCACAGTTAGGTCTGTGATCCATTTTGAGTCAATTTTTGTTTATGGTATAAGGAAGAGATCCATCTGAGTCCTTTGAATTTAGATAGCCTGTTGTTCCAGTACCATTTGCCCAAAAGATGTATTCTTGTGGGTGGTATTGTAAAGAAATTGTTTTTATTAATTTCATGTTGTTTGTTCATTCCCAGTATCTAGAATGATTTTTGCACTTTGCTCGTCTACCCTGCAACCTTTATACATGTGGTAGTTTAGTAGTTTTTAGTGTAGCCCTAAGACGTTCCATGTACAAGCCCACATCATCTATGAACAGGGGTAGTTAACTGCTTCCTTTCCAGTCTGGATGTGTTTGTTGCTTTTTGTGCCCAAGCTTCCTATGGCGAACCTCTACTGCAGTGATGAGTACAAGTGGTGAGAGTGGGTATCTGTCTTGCTCCTGATGGAAGAGGGAAATGGGTCGTTTACCATCAAGTACAATGTCAGCTGCTGGTTTTTTTTAGATGTCTTTTGTCACAATGAGAGCACTCCCATCTATTCCTGCTTGCAGTGTTTGTTTTGTTTAATCACGAAAGGTATTAGATTTTGTGACTTTTTTTTTCCCTTTCTGTTTCCTAATATTTATTCCCATAGACAGGAACTGCAGTACAAGCTTGCATTAAATTCACTGTGTGACTCTGATTCTTTTTTTTTTTCAGTTTTATTATTGTGTATGTAATATGATGCCTGTGTGTGTGAGTGTGAGCATGCATGTGCCATGGCACACACGTGGAGGTCAGAGGACAGTTTTCAGGGGCAAGTCTCTGTCTACTGTGGGTTCCAGAGACTGAACCTAGGTACTCAGGCTCACCATACAAGCCTTCTATTCACTGAGCCATTTCACCCCCAATGTCTGATGTTTTTTACTTCCACTTCCTTGTGCTGGGATTACAGATGTCTAACAGCACACCTGGTGGGTGCTGGGGTTACAGATGTCTAACAGCACACCTGGTGGGTGCTGGGATTACAGATGTCTAACAGCACACCTGGTGGGTGCTGGGATTACAGATGTCTAACAGCACACCTGGTGGGTGCTGGGATTACAGATGTCTAACAGCACACCTGGTGGGTGCTGGGGCACAAACCCAGGGCCTCATGCATGCAAGGCAAACACTCTATCAACTGAGCTCCATCCGCAGCCATTTTATATTGATTTTTAAATTAAATCAAGCTATGATTTCTGGGATGAATCCCACTTGGCCTTTGTATATAACCTCTTTTATATGTTGCTAGATTCAGCCTGCTAGTATTTTGTTGGGATTTTTTTTCTGTATAAATAACTGATATTGGTCTATGGTTTCCTTTTTCCATTTTCTTAAATTTGTTTGTCTGATATTGGTTTCAGGATAGTATTGGCATCATCTAATGAACTGAGAAATGCTTCTTTTTCATTTTTGGAAAGACTTGTGAAAAAATCTTAAATCCTCAGTGTCAGTAGGGTCTAGATTGTAGGTGGCTGTCTGGTGAGGGTTTTTAATTATTAGCTCAGTGTCTCAAGCTGTTTCTTACTTCCCAGGAAGCTGGTTATAGACGTGGCAGTGAAAGGAGAGAGGGGTTCAGGAACATGCAAGTGGGAGTCCCGAAACTGGAGGGTTTCTCACCATCCTGGCCCCCGCTTCTCCACTTTCCCCCTTGGGTCTCCTGGGGAAACCGTCCTCCCTCTCCCTCCTGAAGGAACACTGCTGAAGTATGGACACACACTCCCCACCCCCCACCCCCATCCCCCCACTCCCCAACCCCCCATCCCCATCCCCCCATCTCCCCATCCCTCCATCCCCCCATCCCCCCATCCCCCCATCCCCCCATCCCCCCATCCCCCCATCCCCCCATCCCCCCATCCCCCCATCCCCCCATCCCCCCATCCCCCCATCCCCCCATCCCCCCCGCACCCCAATTCTGGCTGGGAACGATGGCTGGGTAATATCAGGTGGCGCAGGAAGGAATGAGAGTTCAGTCAAGACAAGACAATGACAGGCAGAAACTTCGAGGTGTGTGCAGGCGTGCATGGATGTGTGCTATGCCCTGCCTTGCCATGTGCTGTGGACCTTTAGCAAAGGCGCCTCTCTGCAAAGCGGATGCGAAATGAGCTCTGAGCTATGTGAATGAGAGAGCTGTGGAAAGCTGTGCTCTCCATCCATGTTCACAGGGGAAATGGAGGGAAGCTGGCAACTGAGCTCATTTGGAGCTCATAAAGTGCTTGCCTATCGTGCACAGCCCTGGGTCTCTCTCCCAGGGAGACTGGAGAAATGGCTTGGTGGTTAAAAGGACCAGCTGCTCTTCCTGAGGACCCAGGTTGGATTCTCAGCACACACGTCAGCTCATAGACATCTAAAACTACGGTTCCAGGGGATCTGATGTTCTCTTCTGGCCCCCTCAGGTGCCAGACACCTAAGTGGAGCACAGGCATACAAGCAGTCAAAACACCCATGAACATTTTAAAAGGACACCAGCAGCTGGGCATGGCGGCACCTGTCTCACACTTGGAGGTGAATATGGGAGGTTCAGAAGTTTGAGGTCACCCTAGGGAGTTTGAGGCCAGCCTGGGAACCCTGTAGGTGCACACGCTCTGCATGCTCAAGGCAAGGGTCAGGGTGGAGGCTCTGACTACATGGGAGTGCTCCCCTATGGCTTTGCTGCCATAAGCATGTTCCTCTTGGGGTTTTGTTTTTTGAGGCAGTGTTGGCAGGTAGCACAGGCTGGCCTCAACTTATCCTCTTGCTGTAACCTCCTGAATGCTAGGATTGCATACATGTGCCACCACTCCCGGCTCTTTTTTTTTTTTTTTTTTTTTTTTTTTTTTTTTTAGGCCTTCGTGAAGCATGGTACTGAGTCTGGGGTCACTGTGCCCTCACAGAGGCAGCCAACCCTCAGCAGCACAGTCTCCTGAGGTGTGCAAGGCACTGTCCTGACCTCCATTTACCCCAAGTCTCCAGTGTTCCTCAGAAATCCCCAAATCTGCTTGTGGGAAACTAGCAGCAGATTTCTATGAGGCTGAGTGCTCCCTTTCTGCACTGATTTGCCAGCACAGAAATCCCGGGGAGTTTTTCCAAGAATTCCCACTGTTTCCAGCTTCCCTGCTTCCCAGTGGCCACAGTGGAAAGCACCTCATTCTTGGCCTACTTGATCATCTCCTTCTCTGTGTGTAAGGGCACTGGAGAAACACAGTGGATGCTAGAATTCTTAGGCCTTCCTGGGCTAAGTGAGCATGCACACCAGTAGCACACCAGCAAAGGCAAACACGTTGGGTCATCCAAGACCATTTGGTGTTTTGGGAGTAGCTGCAATGCTTTGCTTGTATTGGGTATGGACTCACCAGGCTATTCTAGGAGGCTGGGGAGTCTCCCAGGAGTGCATCCAGCTGTTCTAGGAGGCTGCAGGGCCTCCCGACCTGAGCTTCTGAGTCTCAGGGCAGATTCCAGGTCTGGATCCAAGTGCTGAGGATCCTCCTGTCTTTCCACAGAGAACACCTTCTGTAGCGGGGACCATGTGTCTTGGCACAGCCCTTTGGATAACAGTGAGTCAAGAATTCAGCACATGCTGCTGACGGAAGACCCACAGATGCAGCCTGTGCAGACCCCTTTTGGGGTAGTTACCTTCCTGCAGGTGAGATGCTGCGAGAGCTTCAGACATTTCATCCTTGTGGGGAGAGTCTAGAACACAGGTGGACTTGGAGAGGGGAAGTGGCCGGGCAGAAGGCTCCTCTTGGTCTTCTCTTCCCCATGATGGTCTGTCTGAATGCAGATGAGACGATTCCACCGTCTGCAATGGCAGGGTGGTCTTCTCTTCCCCCATGATGGTCTGTCTAAATGCAGATGAGACGATTCCACCGTCTGCAATGGCAGGGGCAAGAGCGACATCCAGCTCCAGGGTTACCGTTCCCCAGTGGGTGTGACTCTCCCCAGCTGCTGCCCATGCTTGCTTGCAGCATCTAATGAGGGCTAGGTGAAGGTTCAACTGGTATCCTAGAGATTTATACAGATACAGCTATTGCAGGAACAGCTGCCTGACCACCCCCTGCCTCTAAATACCTGGCCTGAGGGAGGCCCTGCCATGCTGTGGCTCAAGCTGCCCCTCGTTTCTTCTACAGCCAAGAGCTAGGCTCTGTGCCACTAGATACCTGGTCAGGTCTTGGTGCCTGTCTGTGGGCACAGGAACCTCCCAACTAGGTAGCACCTCCTAAGGGAGCCACCAGCCTAGAAACACAAACTTTGCCTGTGTGCCCCCTCCTTGAGATGCGCCTGAGAGAGCCTGGGTAGCTAGACATCCAGGAGGGATGGCCATTAAAACACAATGGCGTCTTGTCCTGGGCCGCAGATCGTCGGTGTCTGCACTGAGGAGCTACACTCGGCCCAGCAGTGGAATGGGCAGGGCATCCTGGAACTGCTGAGAACAGTGCCTGTGTGAGTATACGTCCCTGTAAGGTGGAGGCCTGGACCCCTGGGTCTTGGGGGTGGGTGTCCTCCCTCCATCCCACCTGAAGGGTCCTTTGCTTTGCTGTTGGAACACTCATTTCTCTATGGTCCCTGACCACTAACAGTGTCCTGTGTGTTCTGGGTGGGACAGCAAATAGGAAAGCTGCTGACTAATGATCAGTCCAGACCCTCAGGTACCTCTGTCTCTCCTTGTCCACAGTGCCGGTGGTCCCTGGCTGATAACTGACATGCGGAGGGGAGAAACCATATTTGAGATCGATCCACACCTGCAAGTATGTCTTGAGTGAGGAAAACCTTGCTAGCACACACTTCCAGATAACCACTGGCTTCCATCCCGAGAAAAAGGAGGAGCTTTGTGTGTGAGCCAGTAGAAATATGGCATGGTCTAGAATGTGTTCCCTGAATACCCCATATAAGAAAACAGATTCCAGCCCAGAAAAGCAAGCCTGTACTTTTAAATGTCTGTGTGCATTTTAAAAGAATGGATTTTAGTGTACGTAAATTATGTATCAAAATTAGACTACCACCACCAAAGGAAGGTAATCAAGGAGTATTGTCTCCTTGCCCTGTGTTCCTTTCCCTCCTCCCCCTTCTTAGCACACGTTTTTTCAGGGAGCCACCCTCCCTGTGTCTGACTGCAGCACGGGCTATGTTGACCCCTCAGCCCAGCTGCAGGGTGAGTGCTGAGTGGTCTAATGACCCTGTCATTGTAAAGGAGTCTTTAGACCCCACTGTGGCTGCCTGGACAGTGTCACTGTCACCTTTGCTGCTTGAGAACTCGAGATGCTTGTTTGGCACCCACTGGATTTTGGAAGCCACAGAGCATTGCTGCATTTCTTGCACCCTGTGTAGGGGCAGCAGAGCACATGTCTGCCTTGTGTTTGGCTCTCTCTGCTCACCGTGCCATCAGAGGCAGGTCACGGCCATCTCTGAACTTCCCAGCTTCTGCAAGGCTCCCTCAGGCCACAGCAGCGACTAGGCAGGTGAAGAGAGACATGTAGCCTGCAGCCCCTGAAGTTGGTTGCTGCTGACCTGTGAGCTTTTGGGTTCATGTCCTCTTCATTCACAGATGAGGCTCCTCCACTCTCTGGGTACCTTTAACCCTGAAATGCTCACACTGCTGCCAGGATCTTTTGTTATCTCTACTTTGAACTTACTTTCTTTGTAGCTTCTGCTTATGCAAAAGCCAGAAGTCATGACAGCTCCATCCCTAAGCCCTCCTTCTGCAGCCACACTGGGATCCAGCATGCGGCACTGTGGACTCTTGTTTGGCTCCTGTCATGAGTGCCAAAAACTACCCAAGGCTCTCTTGAGACCCCAGCCAGCAGGATCCATAACACCCTATGGTCATTACCTTCAAGCAAGAAGCCAATGGGAGAAAATGTAGCTTGTTTTCCTGTGGCCCCATTATCAGTACTATTTGCTTGTGCCTTTCTGGCACCTATGGACAGGGCAGTGGTTGGCAGGAAAACTCATGCTCTCCCCTGGCAGACCTGCTCCTGCCCACCTTTACTTAGGCATAGAGCGCCTAGAGCTGTGGCCTGCCTGCCTCCAGCCTCACCCAGGCCGAGGACAGCACCAGGAGAGAGAAGAAAGGGTGACTTATAGGGAGGAGGCCTCCTGTGACCAAGGCATAAGAACAATGTCCTTGTCTGGCAGCCCTGGACAGGGACCGGCTGGCACAGGGAAGTGTGAGCTTTTTTAGTTTTGTTTTGTTTTGTTTTTGAGGTGCATAGTCACAGGTTTACTTGACCTACATGGCTGTTTATGGACAAGGGTGCTAAAGTCTACCAGATGACCTTTGATCCAGAGCCCAGCACCACAGAACTATGTTTTACCAGAAAACCTGGGATGTTTTGAGCACAGCTCTTCCTTGAGGCCATTTGGAGAAAGTTTAGACTTAGCAGTGCCAATGTCTACACAAAGGCAGGGTCTCTGGGGGAAGTGTACAACAGTCACTGCCCTCCAGACCCCCATCTCAGCCTCAGAAGTAGAAAAGGACCCTATCCAAAACCCTTTGCCAAAGTTAGCTGGCACCTATGGACAGAGAGCACGTCTGCTCTGGAACGATGGCCCCCTCTAGCTGTTATAATGAGGAACTGCAGGTATGGGTTCCCAAGTCCCGGCAGGCAGGCTCACACCCTAACTCCTGTAGGTAGGTGGGCAATGGCCATTGTTGGATCAGGAAGAGGGGAAGACTTCATGCCTTTCCTGAGAAAAGCAGATCATATCTCAGCTAATCAGCTCTGAGGGCTCTCAGGACTAGAAGAGCCACAAAGGCCGTGGTAATGGGGGTTGATGGGAAGGAAGCATCCATGGTGCCTTCATTTCTCCTGGCTTCCCTTAATCCCGTTCCCCAGAGGAGTCCAGGGGCTGGCAGAAGCCACTGTGCATAGAGTCAGAGAACAAGGTCAAAGAGACCCTGGTCTTACAGCAGCTGTCCACACTCAGCGTCTACACAGCCAACACTAGAAGAATAGTGGCTGGGTGGGTGGGTGGGTGGTGGTATCCTTGGGCCACCAGTTCTCTGAGGGAACTCTGACTCTTTGGTTCTTTTCAAGCAGGAGAGAGTTGACAAAGGCATCGAGACAGATGGTTCTAACCTGAGCGGTGTCAGTGCCAAGTGTGCCTGGGATGACCTCAGCCGACCTCCCGAGGACGATGAGGATAGCCGGAGCATCTGCATCGGCACACAGCCCCGGAGGCTCTCTGGCAAAGGTTGGGGCCTTCCCCTGCCTTCCCCCCTTGCCTTTCAGGCTCCCTGGACAAATCTTTAACAAAACAGTCCACTCTGGTTTATTTTCTGACAAATGAATTTTTCCAGTGGGTTGAACATATGAGCTAATTTGGCCTGTTTGTAGCTGTTATCTGTGTGTGTTTCGAACACATCCGTGGGAACTGTGTGTATACCCTGCCCCTTGGAATCTGAGGCCATGTATGTTCGTGAGAGCCATGGAACAGTTAACAGAAAAAGTCCACAGTCCACCTGAAGACATGACAGCAAATGTCCACTGCCCACAGCACTGACACCGATCCTGGCTCCTCCTAACGGCCATGTCAAGCCAAGCCTGTGGATCTCTCTCCTTGGGCCTGCCTAGGCTTTTAATGAGAGTGGCCTGAGTGTGAGCCCCCGCACTGCCCTACACTGTAGTTCAAGAGGCGGTGGCATGGCGCCCTGTTGCCACTGCCTCCGGGGAAGATCTTGGACAAGGAGGATGTGGCTCTCCTGTTGGACGCTCCCCATGCTGGTTTTGGCTACAAAAGCACTTGTGGTTTTTTGCTAAGGCTGTCCCTAGCTAATGCCAAAGGAAAAGCAGCCATTTACATCCATGTATGCGGGAGATTTTTGTCTCCTTCCTTTCTTAGTTCTTCTGTCTTCTAATGCCTATTGAAGAATGAGATGCCTTCATCCCTGAGTGAAATACCTGACTTTGATTGCTTTTGAGACAGGGTCTCATGTAGCCTAGGCTGGCCTCCAACTTACTATGTAGCCAAGGATGGCCTTGAATTCCTGCTCCTCCTGCTTCCCACCTCCACGGTGTTGGGTTTCCAGAAGGACTACACTGGTTTTCTTTTTTTTTTTCTTTCTTTCTTTTTGGTGCTGGGGGTAGAAGCTAAGCACAGACCCTGCCATGGAGCTGTACCTGCACACTCCACGCCATGTGTGAGGATGCTCATAGAAAGATTTCTGAAAGGACAACTTAAACTCTTCTTTGCTGCAGGAGTCAGAGGAGTTCACACCCGGTTTCTTTTGACAAAGGGTAACTTAAGGAGATGTTGGCAATCTTGTCCACAGCTGCAGTCATCATTGCTATTTTATTTATTGTTTGTTTATTTTTCAGACAAGCTCTTTCTCTCTGTGTGGCATAGGCTGGCTTCTAATTTCCTGCCTCAAACTCCCTAGTGCTAGGAGTGTAGCCATGCACCGCCATGCCCAGCACTGTTGTTTTTAGCTTTTCTTTTTATAAATTCGTTTAACAATAGCAGGTCACATAGCAGAGATGGTGGTATCTTTCCCCCTAGTACTACCAGCCCACCTTTTCTTTTCTTCCTTTGTTAGGTAGGGATCTTATTGTGTGTAGCCCAGGCGAGTGAGTCTCAAACTTGTCAAACTCCTCTCTCAGCCACCTAGAGCGAGGATTACTGGTGTCACCAGCATACTGTTGTCCTAGGCTCTAGAAGAGGCTGGGAGGAAGGGTTGCTGAGAGTCCAGAGGGTCACCAGGCAACAATGGGGCTCTATCATTGCAGACACAGAGCAGATCCGGGAGACCCTGAGACGAGGGCTCGAGATCAACAGCAAACCTGTCCTTCCACCAATCAACCCTCAGCGACAGAATGGCCTCACCCATGATCGGCCCCCGTAAGTGTTGTGTTGCAGGGCTAGGACAAGAGGATGGTATTTTTCCTGAGGGGTCAAACCTGGGGATTGCATGAGAGAGAACAATGCACATGGCTCTAGCTGAAGGGACCCAGGGTCTCTGGGTTTAAGGGCAGCTCCGGTCCAGGGCACAAAGACCTGTGGATTGTAGGAAAGGACCTCAAAGGGGACTCTGCAGACCGTGAGTATAAACAGCAGTAAATATTTACATGGGCTGTGTAACAGAAGAGAGCCCAGGTCAGGGCAAATCTGACTGGGGGCCTCTCAGCCTTGTGGGAGCCCATTGTGCTCAGCCGGTCCCTCCTTATCTCCCCCTCCGTCAGAGTTGCCCTTCCTTCCTTCCTGGAGCCTGGGCTCTGGCTGATAGCTGCAACCCCAGGGACCTCCTTGTCTGGCTGGCCCTGTACTGCATGCCTGCTGCTGAGGCCCTTCTTCCTGCCTGCCTTTCCTGGGGCCCACAGAAGGGAAGGGAAGTCCTTAGCAGGCCTCTGCTGCCTGTCTCAGGGTCCCGTAGTCCTTGGGAGAAAGCAGCCAACCCCAGGAGACAGATCTGCCTCCTGCCCACCTCTTCCTCTGTTAGGAGGCTGGTGGAGAACAAGGCCAGAGTTGGAAGCCCTTCTCATCTGGCCTGGATGCCTAGGTGCAGAGCCCCTCACAGCAGGAACCTTGCCTGCTCGTGAGGAAATTGTTGGGCCTTAGGTGAAAACGGAGCTGGGCTAATCCTGCAGGACTAGGGTGATCCGCCTGTCTTCTAAGAAGTGGTTACTGTAAGCTTGCTTTGTGGCAACCTCAAGCCCTGGGGTCATCTGGGATGCACAGGCCTTCCTTTGGGGGAACATGAATGAAACAGTGAACTGTTCATGGCGCGTGCAGTTGGACTGCACCTACAATTTGTTGGAAATGACCACAGCTTTGGAGTCAGGCTCTAGTTGGTGATCCATGGTCCCCGGAAAGATGAGTGACAACATTCTGCAGGAAAACGCGTCACCATCTGAAGTGGGCCGCATGTCTTCAAGAGAGAGCTTCAGGGATGGGCCCTAGAACGGAACCTAGCATGGGAAACTGCCCAAGGGACTGAGGTAGGGGGGCCTGGATGCTTAACACCAAGGATGCATCTTGGGAGCAAATTATGGTGTCAAGAGGGTGACTCTGGGCACTTCGCTCCATTGCGGCTTACGTAGTGCCCCCGCCAACCAGAAGCTAGAATTGAGCTCTCTCTATCGGCATGGAGAGGCTTCCATTGCCACCCAGCACCCCTTTGCTGCAAGCCAGTGGCTTTCTTAGGTCATTGGGTTTTGCTGTGGCAGTAGCAGATGGCCAAGCTGTGTCATCTGGAAGCTTTCCAAAAGCTGCAGTCTGGACCCTGACCCAGGGCTGTACTCCTCCCTGGCACCGGTGGCAGGCCTGAAGTTCTAGTGGGCTTGTAGCCTTGAGTAGTTTGCCAGAAATGTGCCCCTTGCTGCCCCACTTTGACCTGAGACACGCCTGATATCGTCCTCCCTTTCTTGTTTATATGTCTGACTATTGCTCCCCTAGACATTGCAAGGGGCGCACACCAGACTCTCAGTTCCTGTAGACACCACAGCTGGGCAGTAAGACCATGGAGCTGGGCACTGGCAGAAGGCTGTCCCCTTTGCCCCCACTCTTTGCCCTCCATTGGCTGTTATGCAGGGATGGGTGAGAAGAAACCAGAGGTGTGAGCCCTCTGGAGTCTTCTGCCCTCCCTGCAGCTCCAGTACCCAGTCAGGTCCCCAAAGAGCTGAAGCCTGGCATCTGGAGGGGTCAGAACCTCTCCCGAGGTTCTTGGTCCTGGTTACCAGTTTGTTAACAAGCAGTCGAGCAATGGTCCACTAAGACTGTTCTGCGGCTTGCTCTCAGCTCTCCCGGAGCCTCGTTCTGTTGTCTCAGGCTCGACAATGGCCAGCTCAGAGGAGATTAGCAAGCACCATTGTAATATCTGTGCTGCCCACTCTGGGACCTGACCTCATTTCAGACTCACCATAAAGATGGTGACAGAGAAAGCCAATCCCAAATGTGCTGGCACCAGTACTTGTCCTTCCCCCACGGGAGAGCTGCCATCACAGCAGGGGCCCTATTTTGTCTGCCTGTCCAGTTTCCCCTTGGTCAGGACTTTGGTCTGGGCAGCTCGGATGCGTGGGTCTTTGTGGGTCTGGATGTGATCTAGGAGGTTACAGAGATGGATCAGCTTAGAACAGCTGATGAGGCCTGGGCATCAGCGACTGGGTCTGCCCTACTTGGGGAACTGGGCCCTTGCTAATTTCATGCATCCATAACAGCCAACAGTTCATACCAACATCAATTTAATTCATCCTCATAGCACTGTATGAAGTAAATAATCTTGTATATTTTCCTTTTCCAGAAGAAACACTTGAGATATAGGGAGCTGATAAGTAGTTTAAGGCCATCTCAACAGCTGTGGGCTTCCTTGCCCTGTGCTCAGGGACCCTCTGAGGACCTGCAGGCCATGCCTCTGAGATAATAATGATCTCACCTGGGGAACTCGTGTAACTAGCTGGTTGTAGCATGACTAGGGACAAGCTCTCACATGACCCTGAGGACAAGCTGGGCCCGTGTTAGAAGATGACTGGGTTTATTTAACTGTAAGGAGGACCTCTCATTAGCCCTGGTGATTCTAGAAATAATGAGCTCTGTCATTACTGGCTCGTTTATAGCAGAATTACTTTCTGAAACAGGCCTTGTTTTCAGAAACAAACATAACCCTATCTCAGGCTCTTCTCCCACCTCAGGAGCAGGGGACTTCTTTCTTTCTGAAGGCCCCAGCTCCTGCTTCCCAGAAGGCTGCCCCTCTGGGTAACCTGTTCTCCCACCCATGGCCGCCAGCCCTCCTCCCACTGCTTCCTGGAAGGAGCACCCTGGGCCCTCTTTGGGGCGTCTTCAGCATTTCACAACGCTTGCATTCCAGCCATGAAATTTGTATCTGCCTTTTCCCAAGATGATCAGTTGAGAAAAGCCTCCTTGGGCTTGCCGGCGCCTCCCTTCCCACTGCCTGCTCGGGTGAGTTTGGGAAGCAGCCCTTTGTGCCACATGAGACAGCCTGGCCTAGAGCTGTGCCTGCCAGCACTGGTTGGGATCCAGGGTGGGAGTCACTGGACGGCCTCTCTATCTGAGGTCCCTGGTCAGCCAGACTCTGGCATTAGCTCCCAGCCTCTCCATTGTGATGGTGGCAGGCGGGCATGTGTGGTCAAGTGTATGCATGGGACGGTCTGTTTCTGTAAACTTCCTCCAGTGCCCTGTGCCTCACTTAGCTGGTGACTCACTCACTGAGGAGGGGGTTCCACAAGAACCCTCTGGGTCTTGCATCTTCTCAAAGAGGGGCAGGCATCATGTGTGTTCATGGGTGTGTTGGAGAAAGAGGGCTCTTGGGTAGTCAGGGGGCCTCTCAAAGGCAAACGTAACGTTACTGCTCAGCCAGGTCCCTATTGGTCTAGACTAGCAACAGAAGTTTATACGGGTGCTCCCTCCTCCCCTTAGTTTCCCAGAGAGTGGTGGCTTCATAGCATGAATTCTCATGCTGTGACAGTCCATCTGTAAGGTTCCCAGAAACACAGACCCAGGCATGTACACATCTCTCCCTCCCTTTCTTCTTTCTCTTCTTTCTTTCTGCTTAAGATGGAGTCTGTCTCTGTAGCCCAGGTTGGCATGGAACTCACAGTAGCCAATAGCCCAGGCCTCCTGTGTAGTGGGATTACAGGTAAAAGCTGTAAAAGTCTCTGCTCTCATTTGTTTGGCCTTGGGACAGGGTGACTTTGCTGCCTCTGACTCCCATTTTGAGTAGTTTGTGACCTAGCTGGGGAGTCCTTTAGAGAAAACTGTTTTGTTTTGCTCAGCCTATGGGGCCTGTGAAGTATAATTAGCTCTCTGGTTTTCATCTGCCTTGCCAGTGGATTTGGGTGAAGGAAGGTGAGTTACCTCCCAGGAAGGGTAGCTGTGGTGCCACTTTGCACATAGGACAGATTTAGATGACCCTGCTGTCAGGGTTGTGTGTTAGGGCAGTAGACAGCCTGGAGCCACTCTGTCACGGTGGCTTCACTCACAGTTCCCATACTGGCAGAGTACAGCCTTTTGCACTGGAGACCAAGCCCAGAAAGAAAGAATCCTGCTCTCAGGGCCTCCACCAGGCTCCCAAGAGCTGACAGTAGGAAACACCAGAGCCTCTCTGCTCACTGCTTTCTGGACCAGAGTCTTTCTTCTGAGTCCCTTATGTGAACTAGGTTGTCATGCTAAATGTCTATAGCCATTCTCAGAAAACACTCGAAAGGGTAAAGGGCACAGGTCCCCCAAATCTGACACGGGTCAACTTATGTTTTGACTCCCGTCTTTGGTCTACTTCTCCAAAGAGACAAAGCTGTGGCCATTATTCAAGGTTCCTGGCTGGTGCCTTGAATCGAGGTGCACACCCTGCACCCCTCTCTCTAGTTGCACAATCAAAAGTATTTTTATCCTCCATCCTTGACCCTCTGTGTCACCCAACCCTTCAGCGTGAGTTGTTTCTGCAGGGAAGGGAAAAGGAAGGTTCAAAGGGGAGAGGTGAAGAAAGGAAATGACTCAGGGTCTCGGGCTAGAGCAGGCTCACCTAAGATCACAGGGGTCCTAGTCTTACCTCCCAGGCCAGAGGGGTCAGACTAGGATGGAGTTGCAGGTACCCATAGCTGTTGATGGGTGGTTATAGAGTCTTCCAGCGCTCAGTGCCACTGTCACAGTCTCGTCCTGTCTGCCTCTGCACTGCCGTCTCTCCTCCATGCTCCGTATGTGGGGTGGCCTCTCTAATTGTCACCTTTCACCGTGTGCTTGTTGGTGCTTCCCAACAATACTGGGTGGTCTTGTATTGCTGATCTCATCCTATCAGGAAACTTGTCAGCGTGACTGTGACCCACAACCCTGTGCTTCCCTCTGCCTCACGCCCTTTCCCAATCCTGCCCTGAAGGGAGACTGACAAGTGGCTCTTTCTCTGAGAATTCAGAGCATCAGCAATCAGAAAGCAATAGGAATAATCTCCCAGGCAAAAAGCGAAGCCAGAGGTGGGGCTGTGCTCTGCCAGCCAATTGTACTTCACTCCTGATTTGTTGCCAAGACTGATGTCCTGCTTCCAGGTGTCCCCAAGGAGAAGGTCTCGAGTCATGTGGCCAGTGCAGACGTCATGACTGTCACAGGACGAGGACTGTGGCTAACAGGAATTTCAACTGCTTGGTTCTTCTTCTTCCCTCCCTCCCCCATTGCCATGGATAGAAACTTGCTGGTGCTCCATGAATGTGGAGAAGTCAAGACCGTTTCAGACTGGGGAGAAACACAGAT